CCCCCAGCCTGGCCCTACACCTACATACGGTAGACGGGTGGAACAACGGCCGTCGATGCTTTTAATGTACAAACATTCCATCAGCAGCCGTAGCTTTGATGCCTTCAACATCACTTTGTCTGTTTGTCTACATTTCCATCAGCGTGATCAAAATAAAAAGCGTTGACATGCACATCTGTGTTAATCATAGATGGCAGACAGAAGAACACCATGTTATACTGTGTGTCCCAGCAGGGAAATATCAGCAGAGGCTTCCTGTAGAACTGATGGTCTGTAAATCCTTTTAAATCCAGATATAATGGCTGTGATGTAAGATTATTGCTGTACATTATTTTAATCCCAATGTGACTGAATCTAATCACATATCATCAGCATATAAAGCCTGCTGCAGCAGGAGATTGTACAGGAGGGACCTGGTCCTCTACGGTGAGGACGAGCTGTTTTCAAAGATTCATGGTCAAACTGAGCATAAAACAGATGTTTGAATTATGGATGTCTAATGTGGTGAAAGGAAAGAAACATTACAGAAATATAGATTTGAAAACAAGACTGTGGTTTCCTGAATGACTGCAAATATTTAAGCTTTAGTTCAGATTAGCTTTTAGCTCTCCCCCGGCTAACCTTTGACTATCTCAGTTATATATTTGGCTGACCTTTAACTAAGTTTGACCTGTCTTCTTAACTTAAGTGTGTGGCCTGTCTGCCTGTCTGCTGTGTAATCAGTGTCATCCCACTCACCTGTGTCCTGTCATTACCTGTTCATTAGTCTCACTGTTGTCACCTGGGTATGAATACCTCCCTCCCTCAGGTCATGGAGAGTCCATGTGGTCTGTGTCTGTGCAGCTGATGGACATGTCCTGTAAGTGCCTGCATTTAAGTTTGGACAATTAAAATGGACTCACCTGTTTCTTGCTGTAATAAAACGTAACATTAAGGTTACGTTTTTATTGTACACTTCTTTTTAATAAAACATATTTAAGTTTTCTCATGGCAAATTGATCAGTAATTTTTGCCTTTTTTTTTCTTTAGATCAGCTGTCAGTGCTTTACACCCTGTTGTCATACTGACTCAAACCGAAGTAGAAGTAGAAGTAAAATTTCATCACAGACTTGTAGCTATGCCTTTTGTGGTTGTTAGCTCTGTCCTCGCTAATTCTTAGATACTTTTACACATTAAAAGTATTGTGTTTAATGTTCTTTTGGTTGCTTTACACTTATTCCTATTGTTGACTTGTTATACCTATGTGACACACAGATATCCATTAGACAGTATCGGCCCAGTACTTTATTCAAATGATGTCACAGCTGTGATCACTCTCTGTCCCGTTGGCTTTGTTAATTATGCAGAGTTTAATGTCATTTCTAGAATAGTTTTTCTACTGATATATCGTCTAATGTGACAGCAGACTTCAGGCTTGAACGAGGCTTCGATTAATAAGACACAAAAATAAAACAGTTTTCTTCATCATGGTCCTCACTGTGATTATGATGTCATCTTATTACCCACAGAGCTCTGCCACCAATGTGACGCTGCATTAGAATTCATGCATATTTATTATAACCTCAGCTAGACGAGTACACAAAATAAATTATTTGATACCCCAAGTTCTGCCGTTGACCTTGAGCTAACTTTCAGTATTTCTCAGCTGCCTTCATCCTCCTGTCTTAAGTCATTTTCTAAGAACTTCTCTGTGAAAATTACACAAATGAGTGACTGTACCTCTCGCAGCATTAAATGTAGAGATTATGGGATTTTCACACTGATAATTCCATTACACCATCTCTAAGATCTTGATGTGTTTCACGCTCATGAGGCTGCAGCTTATTACATCATATCCTTCCTGCAGGTGCAGCACGAAATGAGACCTTCCAATAACACTGCATCACACGGTAAGGACGACACTCGTCATCGTTACTTCCACAATGGGAGTCGTGTGTTGGACTGAAATGATTATTGGTTTCCTGTGGTTGATATTGAGCATCCTATTGCCCTTTCCAGAAATTATAGAGCAAAGATATCGTACACACATTAATCTCCACCAATGAACATTAGCTACAATCCATATCTCCTTGATGTTTCCGTGTGGAACAGGAGCCAATCCTAGCTGAAAAAAAACAAAACAGTGCAACTCTCTTTACTAGTCGGCAATTAACCTCAGCTCAATCTGCATGTCTTAAGACCTTTGGAGAAGCAGGTGTGAGGAGGAACATATTAAATCATGTTGCCGTCCGTCAGCAGCAGCAGCAGCAGCAGTAGCAGTGGCAGCAGCAGCAGCAGCGGCAGCAGCAGCAGTAGCAGCAGCAGCAGTAGCAGTGGCAGCAGCAGCAGCAGTAGCAGTGGCAGCAGCAGCAGCAGCAGGAGGGGAAGCAGCAGCAGCAGCAGCAGCAGGGCTCATGCAGGTTTAATCTCACTGACATTTCTACACTAACCCCTCCATGAACAAACCCCTATGACCACGCTGCATGAATAATATTTATCCTAATCACTACTTTTTTTTATGTCAAAGATGATAGCCGTATAAAGTAAACATCTCTCCTGACTTCCAGGAAAATGTTACGACACATGAAACATAGAGCACCGATGTCCCAGAGGAAACCAACGCTCAAATGTCTCTACGATCCCTCTCTGCCGCTCACGGCTGGTTGCTTGTGTACAGTTGTAACACACAGACGTGGAGGCTGGTTTAATCACAGTTCACAGACTCTTCTGACGTCTTATGTGAGTGTCAGGTACTTTACATTTATGTATTTAGCACACACACTCAGCGACTTACTGAGTGGAATTAACATTGTCAAGCATGTGGTTCCTCTGGGAATCGAACCAAGGACTTTGAGATTAAGAGTCTCATGTCTCATGCTCTACAGACTTAGCTCAGCGGACAGTATGTACGGTGTATGAGTTCTGAATCAAGTTACGTTGCATCGTAGGAACGGAACTCTCACTGTTTAGGATCTTAAGGTAATAGATTATTAAGGTAGTAGTAACTTTATCTTGTGTTCCCAAAAGTAAACGGTTTTGATTATCAGCAGTTTTACTACTCAGTGTCACACAAGGCCGATCTTTAGGCATATATATATATATATAATAACAGCTGCTCTCAGATTACCTAAGCAGGGCGGAGGTGACCGACGAACCCAATCACTCACCATGAATTACCCTGAGCTGCTCCTCCTGCTGTTTTATCAGATGAAGTCGGAGAGACTTCGCTGAGAAACCAGCGGAAGAAAATACATTTGCATTCTCACGCACAGCCCCTCGAGATAATCTCTGCTCAATGTCTTGACTTAATCATGGCTTTTTTTTAACAACAGTACGAGAGGTGATAAGAGGTTTCAGCCAACACTGGAGCTGCTTTATCTCCACATACAACGTGCAGCCATTCAACCAAATGGGACGTCATTGTATTTGACTTGTATTTGACTTACTAACTACCACTTAACACAAAGGGGAGGGGATGTGTCTGATTGGAATGTCAATTAAAAACCCCACTGACGTGTGAGTCACCGTGCTGTTTTTCTGATTTGGTATGTGAGAAGTACTTTTAAAAAATGTCATTGTGGAATCCCCTTTCTCTTGATAACACTTCCTTATTATGTGAGAATTAGAGATCAAGGACAAAATGTGCCATTCATTTACATGTCCAGTCTGACAATCCAGGACAGATGTTGTCCTGCTAACATGTCTTTAATGTTCCAGGTGAAAGACATGTTTGTGTTGGGGAGTCACCAGACCTCTGATCTGTGTGTTTGTACATTCTTGGGCTATTTTTGTTTACCATATCTGCGTTTGTGTCACTTCTGCACGTTAAGATTTACGACTGGAAACATGTGAGAGCCCTCGACGGTTTCATCATTCTCCTTGCCCTTGTAATGTAAATGTCATTTGCTTTAATTAATGCTCCAAAAAGCCTGGCCTGCATCCAAAAGAAACCAGTGATCAGTCACGGTCTCCGCAAATGGTTTAAGGATGCAGACCATGAAGCACTTACAGCAGGTTCCCCTCTGCCCTTCGCTGAAGGACACATTTTTCACACGGTGAGAATGGACGCAGGACGTTTACAGAGGAAATTAAAACTGTCAATGGGGTTAGAGCCACATGTGATTGTTCGACATTTAACCCAAGTCCTTTTCCATTTTCGAACGCTCTCTAAACAGCCGTCTATCCACCATTTCAGTAAAGAGGCGCGGGTCATCATCTTTCACTCGATGTTTCGTCTGTCCAAGAATAGTTTTGTGCTCTTATTTCACAAATCATTTCTCAATGTTCTTATCCAAAAGTAACTTATAGTGGCTTTAAACATGATGACAGTTTTGAAATCAAACAAAATATACTCCTAAATCTCATTCAATAAAATTGTTATTCAGGTTTTATCGCGTTTTAATGCATGAATAAAATGACAAACTATTTACTAAATAATTCCACCGTCCCTTCTCTTTGCTCTAATACACAGTTGATACACATTATGAGTTACTGTGGGAGTTTTCAAATACCATTTCATGCAGCGTGACTTCGTCACTGTGAGTGCAGTGTGACTGATAAGCTGGCTCAGATAAGACTTCACTGAAGTTTGGAGAGAAACTCTTGACATGTTTTACAAGCCACCATCAAGTTCAAAGTAAAGACTGGAAAAAAGGTTAATACAATTTAAAATGTATTTAATTTTTTTATGTATAAGATTTGAGTTGTACTTTTGCATGAGTTTCTTGAGATTTTTCCATTTAATAATTCCATTATTCAAATTGGGCTGAAATAAAAACAGTGGTGAAATCAAATCATAGGTTCAAGTTAGGGATGTACGATAATATTGATCGGACATCCCTAGCTATAGCATAATTATATAATATTAGCATGATTGTGTAATACCTGTAAGAATTGTTATTGGATTTTCCTCCGATAATGAAAACCCAATAACACAATATCTGGGTTTCACCAAATGATGTGTGCCCTGAAAATCGTTTTGGGGATAAACGTCTGTATATGAAAGCAAAAGTCACTAGATGGCAGCATTGCAGCTCATTTAATGAATAGTTTTTAATAATTGTATGCAGAATTCTGGTGACAGCAGCTCATACAGTGGTTTTTTACAGATGTATAAATAAATATTACCAGGCCTAGAGTAAAAAAAATCTGCAGCCAGCCATTTGAAATGCTAAGCAACACTTCTCTCCAGAATTAGTACCAATAATAAATTAAATTCACTTAATAAATAACTAATCAACTTAAATAGGTTGCTCATCTTTAAAGCAGCAAAAGTAACCAGTTTTATATTTTCACTGGAACTACAGTAGTACTTTTCATTTTCAGAATAATTAATGCAAAAAAATATATACATTTAGTAAATGTGAATAATTTTAAAGTACAAAATTGGCAGAGATTCAGTGCTAAATGCAAAGCAGTGACTTTAAGTACGTGCAGGTGCATTTTCTTTATATTCTAACTGCTTGAGTAATCAGTGCCTTTTCACATCAGTACCATATGTGCAGGTGAGTCGCTGCGCTGATTATTATTCATGCATCATGTGTAGCATTTGATACCAGAGTGCCACCATCACAGTGAAGGACCAGAGGGAACTCTGTGGAGAGGCAGCCGCTGTTCAAGAACTATATACTGATGCATGACAAACAAACAAACAAACAAAAAACTCCAGGGTGTTGGTCAGACAGATGGGCAGATAAATGAGGCCACTAAGGCGTACAACAGTCTGGATAATGGGAACAGAGATAAGACCCATTAGGCCAGTCAGTAGAGACTGATAGCAAACAAAATGGGGCCACCTCTGAGGTCCAGCAGGGGGTCGGAGGCTGGGGGATTTCTGCAGCTGTGCACGAAGGCGATGACAAGATGCATTAGCCTTCAGGATGCTGCAGGAGTCAGGTAAAAGATGCAGCTTCTCTGGAGACATGTTGCAAAAGAGGACGCATTCTAAAGGGCAGACGGGATCGTAGCCATCGTAGGTGGAGCTCATCAACCTTTCAGTAGTTTAGCTTCCAGGCAAAACAATGCGGGAGGAATAATGGGGTTTTTCTTTTTATCTTAGATCAACACAGAAATCAGAAACCTGTCACTGAGCAGAAGATAAAAGATGAAGATTCTGATAGACTCACATGACAATCGTAGAAGAACTGCTGGTGTTTAGAAGCTGATGTAGTCATATGACCAATCACTGGCACCTATTAATACTGAGACAAAATGGAAGCACAGTACTGTCTTCCCAAAGTCTGGACAGGTTTTGTGCAGTCTGTGGCCTTTAACACTAGGACTGGGTCTCGGTTTTTAAAATGTTTTAAAAATGTTTTTAAATGTAAAACTTGGGACAGAATTATCTTTTTTTCACTATCATGCTATATATGCTTTCACATGACGTGATGATGTGGAATTACAGCTGCCAGGATTAAATAATCATATACTAGAGTAGACATAAATACTCTGTTGTAATCCACATTGATAAGAGCAGCAGAAATAATTGTAGAAGGGACATAAAAGGAGTATTACAGCCTAATTATTGGCAAAGAAGTACAGAAGTGTAAATGTCCAAGGTGCCTGTGTCACTGTGGGGTTTTTACCTTGTGGCTATTTGCAAATTGATAAAGCTGATGGTATGGGTGGGTCAGGTTTGAGGTTTTACCCTAACCCTGAACCTTCCTGCAGGTGGTGAGTCCACTGGAAGGTACCAACCTCCCTAACCGGGATTCGAACTTTCCCAGGAGGTGAACCCTGGGGTTCCACACCAATGACAGAGACATTTTCTCTGGGCCAAAACGCCACTTTTTGTTGAACAGTGCACTAAATATATAATATAATATAATTCACAGCTTGTGTGAAAGTGTGACGATGATCATCAATGACCATCCAGCTCGGCCAATAAAATCGCCACAATCTCACAAGAGGTCACGTCATAATTCAATGTCTCGACCGGCCGTAATTTGGTGCGTGCGCCGTTCATTGTTCAGAAACGGCCGCGCACAATACGTTCCATAAATGACTGGAACTGACTGCACAAAGACTGCATTGTGTGACTCTACCATGTTTCAGGAAATTATGGAACAGATGAGAATGTGGAAGCAAACACAGGCTGACGCTGCGACTCCATCAAAGGAGTCACAAACCAGTCATGATGAAGCAGTTAGGATAAATCTCACTGTCACTGCTGTGCCGTTGGGGAGGTTTTGTTTGTGAGTAACCCACTGTTCTAATGCAGGTCCTCACATGGCAGCACTTCATTTTGAAGAAATTCTGGAACAGGTCAGAACATTAGAGTGAATTCCTAATTATTTAAGGGTTTTTGTGTTTCATCCAGGGGACTTAGTTTTGTCTGGAGCTTTAATGTTGTGGTATTTCAGTTAAGTGAGGACACAGCTGAGCTCTCACTGAGACTTATTATGTCCAAGGCCCAAAAACAAGAACAGTCAAGAACTGAGAGGCAATGAAAACTCTGTCTCTAATTGTTTTCTAAGCCTAAACTGAATAAAAACAACAAAATACTAAGGACTTTAGAATAAAGTATTGTTATTATTGTTTGTGGCCTCAACACAATTTTCAGGTCTTCTTCAATGTAATATTACAGCTGTGTGAAATAATACAGTTCTATTAAGAAGTCTAATCTGATCAGTCACAAACAGCTTTCACAGATTTCTCTCGTCCTACTTTATCTTCTACTTATTTCCCTCTGAATCAGCCTGTAAGTGACGAGACGTGAATCTAGACTGCAAGGTTTCTTTAAGAGACACTTAAAAATGGTCAATGACCCGTAGTTACATTTACACTTGGTTTACTCTGTTCCCTGACAGCAGAGCAGGCCAGAGGAGCAGTATGTGAATTTGAAAAGTCATGAAACAAGCACACAGTCACCCTCGCCCTCACTCAGCACTTGTATCTGTACGTTACAGAGGGAAAATAAACAGTAATTCATTTGACAACATGGTCTGTTTAACGTAATGTATGGCTGTGACGGTGCAGCAGAGCCTCCAGCACCAACCGGCTTCAATGTTTGGATTGTTCTTCTAGTGTTTTTACGATCATATAATGTGTGACCAGGAATCACACTGTCTCTACAGTGAAGAGGAATTCATTTTCCATTCATGACGGCTGTAAACGGCTGTGATAAAACTGAGCCGTAATATCAGTCGCACAAAAAAAGTGAGATAATCGGACTCTACTGTAGACTAGAATAAAGTCGGTCTGTAGTTACTGTTATATACTACATTATTGACCGTTTAACTACTTTGTTCAAAACTAGGTTTTTAGACGTAGACACCTGTAGAACGTCTACCCAGTCTTATCAGTGGGAAAAATGTTTTTAAAATATTTGGTATGACTGAGCAACTTTTTAAATATTAAACGCATTTGTCTAATAGTCTGATAACGTTTTGAGGTTTAGACGAAGTACAGTTAAGTGTAGCACCGCCTTAGAGACAGAGCATCCAGGTTGAGACGCTGAGATTTTGACAAGATGACCAGGTTGGACAGGGTTGGAAATGTGCAGATCAGAGGGACACTTTGGAGACAAAGTGAGGAAGGCAAAGTTATGATCATGTTACCGAGTAGACAGAGTGAGTATATTGGAGAGTCATGCACTTGGAAGAGTGACCAGAGAATATAGATGGATGTAGTGATGGAGGGTGTACAGAAGGCAGGAGATGAGTGGGTGAGGCTGAGGCAGATGGTCAGCTCTGGTCACCAGTAAAGGTTGAAGAAGTTTGAAGAAGTCTTCTATCCTATTGAAAGTCTAAATGAGTTAAGATGTATTAGGGAGCGTCTCAACATTCAAAGAAGGTTGTTCCTGCACAGGAACCATGGACAAGCAGTGAATGTTATCCTGCACACACCAAAAATGAAGATTTGGCCACTTGTGCACAGAACCAGACAGTTCAGACACATGTGCAGGGTTGGCCCTGGTGCCAAGTGAAGAGAAGTAAAGAATAGAGTGATATATTTATAAAGTAAATAAATAAAAGTGCCGATAGTAGAAACTTTGATAGTAACTCATATGAACTATCTTTTCAGTCATTACTGTTTTCTACAAAGGAATCGAGACGAGTCACATAAGGAGAGATGGGTTCACCTACCAAAGCAGGAGTTGATGAAGCCGTACCAGCTGCAGCCGCTGCGCCCCAGCAGCCACTTCCCGCGGATACTCGAGGCGAAGCTGAG